CAATTTCGTGAATTTTAATTTTTTGATTTTTTCCTATTTCAGTTTCTCGAGTTTTAAGTTTCTGGATTTATCGATTTTACGACTTCTCGGCTTTTCGATTTCTTGATCTTTTTCTCGATGTTTCCATTGTCCAATTGTTAGATGTTTCGATTTTTCGATTTCTTGATTTTCCGATTTTTCGGTTTTTCAATTTTTCGATTTTCCAATTTTTTGATGTTTTGCCTTTTCAGTTTTTCGATTTCTCAATTTTTCTTCATTTCAGTTTTGGGATGTTTCAAGTTTTCGGTTTTCCAATTTTTCAATTTTTTAAATTTTAGATTTTTAGGTTTCTCGATTTCTGGTTTAGTCTTCAATTTTTCAGTTTTTCGATGTTTCAATTTTTCGGTTTTTTAAATTTTACATTTTTCTATTGTTTTATTTTCTCCATTCCTCGACTTCTCGGTTTTTCAAATTTTCGATTTCTCAACTCTTCAGCGCTTTAATTTTGAGAATCTTTCTCCTTCTGGATTTTTAAATTTTTCGATAGTTTAATTTTAGATTTTCAGTTTGTCGATTTCTCGATTTCTCGATATTCTGATTTCACAATTTCGCCGTGTTTCGATTCTTCGGCTTCTCAACTGTACCATTTTTCAAATTTTCAGTTTTAGAAATCTTGATTTTTCCATTTTTGACTTTACGATTCATATACTTCAATTCTTGGATTTTTTGGTTTCTTGATTTTCGATTTGTAATTATCTAGTTTTCGGTTTTCAGATTTCTCGAATTTTCTTTTTTTCGAATATCTATAATCAAATTTTCGATTTTTCGATATTCGCTGTTTCCTTTCCGATTCCTCGATTTTTCATTTTTCGATTCTTCAGTTTTTCGAATTATTTTATATTTCAATTTTTCGACTTATCGGTTTTTCGAATTATTAATTAATTTGAAATTTTTGAAATTTCGAATTTTCCATTTTTTAAGACTTCGATTTTTCGATTTTTCGACTTTGGATATTTCGTTTTTGCTATACTTGGATTCTTAAATTTCTCATTATTGCGAAATCTTCATTTTTCAATTTTGGATTTTTCGGTTTCTTGATTTTCGATTTTAATTTTTCGTTTTTTCAATTTTTCCATTCTTCAGTTTTTCTAATTATTTTATATTTCGATATTTCCATTTCAATTTCTGTTTTTCAATTTTTCTAGTTTTCGAAGTTCCTACTTTAGAATTTTTGATTTTTCGACCTTCAATATTTAGTTTTTCCTATGCTTCGATTTTTGGATTTTTCGAAATTACGAAATTTCGATTTTCATATTTTTGATTTTCGGTTTCTGGATTTTCGATTTGTACACTTTCTAATTTTTTGTTTTCATCGAATATTTGATTAATTTCCCTTACTTCCATTCGTGGATTTTTTGAAACTTTGAAGTCTTGATTAACAAATTTTTGATTTTTCGGTTTCTGGATTGTCGATTTTTCGATATTCGAATTTTCAGTTTCTCAATTCTTCAGTTTTTCGATTTTTCAATTATTTTACTTTTGAATTTTTCGACTTTTTGGCTTTTTTTACTGATTTTTTCGTTATTCGTCGATTTTTCTATTTCTAGAAAATTTTGTTTTCCGTATTTTTTTATTTCTCGATTTTTAATTAATCAGTTTTTAGATTTTACAGTTTCTTCTTTTCAATTTTTCAAATTTTCAGTTGTTTTTTCCATTATCGAAGTTTTCAGTTTCTCAAGTTTTAAGATTTTTATTGATTTTCAATTTTGCAATTGTTCGATTTTTCTGTTTTTTAAATCTTCAGTTTTTTCATTTTTAAGGTTATAATTTTTCCTTTTCCAATTGTTGACCTCTTAATTATTCGATTTTGAGTTTCTTTATTTTTGCAGTTCTTCGATTTCTCAATTTTTAAATTGTTCGGTTTTTCGATGTTTCTTTTTCAATTTTTCAATTTTTGATTTTTTGATTTTTAATTTTTCAGTTTTACAATTTTCCGACTTTTTGATTTTTTAAAATTTCACTTTTAATAAGTTTGTCCTTTTGTTGAAAAATTAAAAAACGAAAAATTGAGAAAATGAAAAATTTAAAATAAAGTACTTCCAAGTATGTAATTCCAAGTTGTTTCGTTTCTTCGATTTTTTATTTTCTCAATTCGAGATTGTTAAATTTTTGTTACATTTTTCGATTTCTCGATTTTTTAGTTTTTCGATTTTCATTATGATTTTTTTTTCAGTAAAATTTTTGTATGTTTCGATTTTTTAATTCGCAGATATTTATTAATTTTGCGATTTTCCAAGTTGCTTTTTAATTTTTCGATTTTCCATTTTTTTACAATTATTCGTTTTTTCGATTTTTCAATTTCTCAATTTGTAATTTATCACTTTTTCAGGTTTCAATGTTACAAATTTTCGATTTTGCGTTTTTATTTTTTTTTTTTTCAAATTTACAATTTTGTAATTGTTTCATTTTTAAATTTTCTGATTTTCAATTTTTCACTTTTTCCAAATAATTATTATTAGGATTTTTTTTCAAGTGTGCAATTCTTGGCTTTTCAACTCTACCCGATTTGTCAGTTTCTGTATCTTTTCAAATCTTCGATTCCTCGGTTATTAAATTTTTCGGTTTTTCAGTGTTTCGTCTTTTCCATGTTACTATTTTTCAATTTTTCCATTTTTCTTTTTTACAATTTCTTAATTTTTCGGTTTTCATTTTAAAATTTTTGGTTTTTGAAATTAATTTTTTTTGTATTTTTGATTGTTTAATTTATACAAGTTTTTGTTTTTCGTTTTTTCAATTTTTCACTTTCTCAATTTTTAATTATACAAGGTTTTCAGGTTTCAATATACGATTTTTTGATTTTTCAATTTTTCGATATTTCACGTTTCATTCTTTAGTTTTTAAGTCTCATTTTTTCGGTTTTTTCAAGTTTTCTTTATTTTTTCAATTCTTCGATTTTTCTATTTTTTGATTTTTCAATTCAATTCAAAATTTCGATTTGAATAAATTTGTCCTTTTGTTAAACAATTAAAAAATGAAAAATCCAGAAACTGAAAATTAAAAATCGAGAATTTGAAAAATTTTATATCGGAAAATTGCAGAATAGCTTCGTTTTGTCGATTTTTCAGTGTCTCGATTTTTAATTAATCAGGGTTTTGAGGTTTCAATATCACAATTTTTCGAGTTTTCAATTATCCAATTCAATTTCTTAATTTTTTAATTTTTTAATTTTTCGATATTTCAAGTTTCATTTTAAAATCTTTGGATTTTGAAACTAAATTTTTTGTATTTTTGATTATTTAATTTATAGAAATTTTTGTTTTTCGTTTTTTCAATTTTTCAATTTCTCGATTTTTAATTAATCGGGGTTTTTAGGTTTCTATATTACAATTTTTTTATTTTTCGATTTGCAATTTTAAAATTTTTCGATATTTCATGTTTCATTTTTCAGTTCAGACTCATTTTTTTGGTTTCTTCAAGTTTTCTTTATTTTTTCAATTCTTCGATTTCTCAATTTTTTTATTTTTCAATCCAATTCAAAATTTCGGTTTGAATAAATTTGTCATTTTGTTGAACAATTAAAAAATGACAAATCGAGAAAATGAAGAAACAAAAATCGAGAATTTGAAAAATTTTATATCGAAAAATGCGGAATTGTTTCTTTTTGTCGATTTTTCAATTACTCGATTTTTAATTGTTTTGTTTTTTGATGTTTCAGTGTTACAATTTTCCGGTTTTTCAAAAGTTCAGTTTGAATAAATTTGTCCTTGGTTGAACAATTAAAAAATGAAAATCGAGAAAATGAAAATTAAAAATCGAGAATTTGAAAAATCTTATATTGAAAAATTGCAGAATACCTTCATTTTGTCGATTTTCCAGTGCCTCGATTTTTAATTAAGCAGGGTTTTGAGGTTTCAATATTACAATTTTTCGATTTTTCAATTATCCAATTCAATTTCTCAATTTTTTCATTTTTCGACTTTTCAATTTTTCGATATTTCAAGATTCATTTTAAAATCTTTGGATTTTGAAATTAAATTTTTTTGTATTTTTGATTATTTAAATTATAGAAATTTTTGTTTTTCGTTTGTTCAATTTTACAATTTCTCGATTTTTCAATTGTTTTTTAATTATCCACTTGTTTAATTTCCCATTTTTTCATTTTTAGATTTTTCAATTTTTAAATTTTTCAAAATTTCGTCTTGAATAAATTTGTCCTTTTGTTGAAGAATTAAAAAATGAAAAATCGAGAATTTGAAAAATTTTATATCGAAAAATTGTAAAATTGTTCCGTTTTATGAATTTTTGGTGTTTCAATTTCGAGATTTTTATGTTTTCGTTTTTCCAATTTTTCAATTAACCGATTTTTAGTTTTTAGATTTTCATTTTGAACTCTTTGGACTTTTCATTTTAAATTTTTTGTATTCTTCATAGTTTCAATGATACAATTTTCCGATTTTCCAATATTTTACTTTAGATAAATTTGTTCTTTTGTTGAAAAATAAAAAAACACGAAATTGAAAAATTAAAAAACTAATAAAAGTATAAAACTCAAAAAATTGTAAAATCGGAGAACTAACAAAGCAAAAAATGGAATAATTGAAAAATCGTAAAATCGAAAACTGAAGAATCTGTAAAATTAACAAATCGGTGCCGATTAACAAAAATGCTCCCACACAATAATAAATATAAAAACAAATCGTATGGTTTTCCCTAGATCTATGATATTGGAATAAACACTTGAATGTACACAGGTTGAATAACATTTGAATTTGGCGCCAGTTTGAATGTGTTTTGTTGTGATTGGTCGGAAAGCCACCGTCAACAGAAAAAAATCTAGCGACACTGGGGACATCTTCAATGGTTTAGTGTAAATAATCGTCAACTTGTCAAATCGTGCTGTAAAGTGTAAAATTCACGAATTACCGTGTGAAACGTAGTTAAAAATAAAAACAAATAAATACAAAATATTTTTAATTTCTTTTTCAAAATTAATTGTTACTGGACCAAACGAGCTACCCGTAGCTCGAACCCACCGTAGCTCCCACCACTCATCTCGAAACGTCATACGTCAAGCACATGTCGGCTCTTTCCAGGTTATGAAATTCCCCGTATTCTAACTCCACAAAAATGCTCTGCGGCCGGCAAATCACCCGAAATTTCGGCAAATACGTCGACAAAGACAAGAGCGGCAAGGCCATCCGGCAGAAATTCCTCGACTACTTCATCACCAAAAACCGCCACAGCTTCATCAAATCCAGCCCCGTGGTGCCTTTCAGCGACCCCACGGTGGCGTTCGTCAACGCCGGGATGAACCAGGTAAACGCGCCCCTTGAATATCTCAATACTCAACCGAGCTCAGTTTAAGGGGGTGTTCCTGGGCACGCAGCCGCCCCAGTACAAGAAAGCCGCCAACTCCCAGAAGTGCGTCCGAGTCGGGGGCAAACACAACGACTTGAGCGTGGTAGGCAGCGACGGCTACCACCACACGTTTTTCGAAATGTTGGGGAATTGGTCGTTCGGAGACTATTTTAAAGTATGATTTAGGAAACTAGGAGTATTTAGTAAAGCGTGGTTTGTAGAAAGAGGCGTGCGAATTGGCGTGGAAGCTGCTAACGCAGGAGTATAAAATTCACCCGTCGAGGTTGTATGTTACGTATTTCAAGGGGGACAAGGATTTGGGGATTGAGGCGGATTTGGAAACTAAAGAAATCTGGAAAAGTATTGGGTAAAATTAACATAGTTGGCTGTTGACAGTTTTGACACTAAGTCATAACCTACTATAACAATTTGGACGCAAATGTAGCAAATTTTAACACCAAAAATCATTTAATATTTACATTTTCAAACAAAACTGCACCAGAAGACTCCACTAACTCATTATTTTTACTTATTTCACTTGTTCAAATGACAATAGTGACAAGTGACATTTGGTTATTAGTTTGGCACGCCTGCTCCCCGCCACCTTTGTTTACTCAAAATTCGTTTTCAGAGTGCTTGAGTCCAGAATTTTACCATTTACGTCTAAAGACAATTTTTGGGAAATGGGGCCAACGGGGCCCTGTGGCCCTTGCACTGAAATCCACATTGACCACGTCACTACGAAAAACCGGGCGGAGCTGGTGAATAAAGGACTTCATGATCTCACTGAACTCTGGAATTTAGTTTTTATCCAATATAACCGGTAATTTTGTCAATTTTGCCCCAATTTTGTGTTAATTTAGCCATTATAGCAAAAATAATGACTCTATTGACGTTCTTCCTGAAAAACACGTAGATACGGGAATGGGTTTTGAGCGTCTGACTGCCGTCCTTCAAGGGAAAATTAGCAACTATGACACTGATAATTTCACTTATTTGCTGAAAGCCATCCAGAAGGTTGGTTCTGAAAATCGGGTAAATATGACGAATAGAATAATGGGGTAGAATTGCAGCAATGTGTCTGGATACCAGGGGAAATTTGGCGAAAATGACTGGAATTGTCTGGACACGTCTTACAGGATATTGGCAGATCATGCTAGAATGGTCACTGTGTGTCTCGCTGATGGGATGATTCCAGAACAGAAGTAAGTAACAGAGTGGCTAACACCTAGATGGCGCTGTTCGAATCTGTCATTTACATATTTCAGCCAGAAATTAAGGCGCGTAATGCGGCGATCATTCCTCCTCGGTCAAAACATATTCAAAAAAGACCGCGGACTCTTAAAAGAGCTCTCAAATTACGTAATCGAGCACTTGGGTCCGGTGTACACCGAAATGGAACATAACGTCAAACAGGTTGGTGTTTTTTCGCGAAAATAAAAAACCCTAGAATAAATTTCCTAGATACAACAAATCATTGACTATGAAGAAGAAGTGTACGACTCGATTCGCAAATCTGCAGCCGACGAATGGTTCAAACTAACCAAAACCCAACCTGAACTTTCCTTACTCGATATAAACGACACCCCAAGCTTGTTAGCGGGGTACAAAGAAATCAGGGCTGCCAACGCAAAAATAATCGACGAAGACCTCGCCTTCAAGTTGTACGACACGTTCGGTCTGGACGAAGAATCAATCTGTAGCTTAGCGAAAGCCTTGAACTTGCCTTTCGACGTCAAAGGTTTACACAGACAACTCGAACAAGCCAAAACTAGAAGCAAAGATCAACATAGCGCACTACCGACCAACGTATTTGATGAATTACGCGACCACAACATTCCCAAAACTGACAGATCGCTTTTGTACACCTACCTCAAAGTCAACGACAAGTACAATTTCAAAGATCTAGACGTGAAGGTGTTAAAAATCATCCGAAACGGGGAATTCGTGACAGAAATCTGGCCGGAAAATTTCTGCTCAGTGGTTCTGGATAAGTCGAACTTGTACACTGAAGCTGGCGGCCAAATTAGCGACAAGGGGGTGATTGTGTGTAATGGAAGAAAGTTTGAAATCACTGAATGCGAAAATTATAATGGTTATATACTTCACAAGGGGTTTCTTCGGTCGCAACAACCCGACTTACTCAAAGAGGGTGACTCAGGTGTGCTTAAAGTCGACTCCGAGTTTCGCCTTAAGAACATGCGCAACCACACTGCAGTCCACTTGTTGAACTCAGCGCTGAAGAAAAAAAAGGGCGCTACTTGTCAGAAATCGAGCAAGGTCACTCAGAACTATCTCAGCTTGGATGTGGGTGTGTTCGGCGAGAAGTTGTCTCTGGATGAGGTTGCAGACATCGAGAGTACTATGAACGCGGTGATAAGGAGCCAACTTCCGGTTAGTGTGACTGAAGTTGACAGTCAGAGGTTGTCAAACTTCGACAACGTCACACTAATTCCAGGGGAGGTGTACCCAGAGTGTGGGATTAGGTTGGTGGAAGTGAAAAGCGACGTTTTGTTGTCGAGGGAGCCGTGTTGCGGCACCCATGTCCTAAACACTGGAGATATAGGGGATTTTTGTGTGGTTAGTGTGAAGTCACTGGGGCGCGGAACTGCGTCGATTCACGGGGTCACTGGCGATAGAGCGAAAGTCGCGAAAGCCAATGGAGAAAATTTGTTGGATTTGGTGGAAGTTTTGGCGAAACAAGTCAGAGATAACATTGACAGGGTAAGTGATGGGGGAATGTTAAAACGGGGTAAAAAGGTGTGGTTTTAGCCCGAAGTTTTGAATAAAGCGATCTCTGGGTTAAAGCAACAGTTGAATTATAGTGTAGAGGATTTGAATATTTTGCCGGTGGTTGTGAAGCAGCAGTGTTTGGATTTGCTGCTGAAAATAAGTAAACAGATTAAAGAGTCTGGGAAGAAGAATTTAAGGTAAACTATATAATCGCCACGTCACGTGTGTAACTAAACTTTTAGAGAACTAGTCGAGGTTGAGATGCGCAATGCCGTGGAGACCGGTGTCTCAAAAACAAAAAACAATCGCGAATATTTGGTGCACTTTCTGCAGAGTTCCGCCGTTTTGGAGAACATTTCGCTACAAAAGGCGACGAGGATATGTCCGGATGTACCAGTGCTAGTCATTGCTTACTCAGAGGGCGTTGTGAAAGCAAGGTGTTGCGTTCCTGAGGTAAGCAATTTTTTGTTAACCACTGGCTAGCTATTATTCGTTCACGATCTTTGTATAGTAGGGTTGGCCATGAAAATCTAGTGAGTTTGTTGGTATTCGATGCAGAAGAATAAAAATTCCCTGAACTTTTTTCGTTAGGTTATGTTCAAAATTATTCGAAAGCTAGCGGTGTTTTATTTTTGATACTCAATGTGAATTTTTGAATTATAAAAATTGGTCTAAAGTTATTTAGACAGCACTTTCCTCTTATAACACAATCTTTGGTTTCTTTATTTCCTTTATTTTTTTGTTGTTTCTTTCGATTTACAATTCTTTATTTATTCAACTTTTCAAATTTTCAGGCTTTCATTTGTCAATTCCATGATTTTCCACGTTTAAAATTTTCCAATTTTTCAGTTTCCTTAATTTTCAATATTTTGATTTTACAATACATATTTCTTTTTTTTCACTTTTTTGAATTTTAAGTTTTTCAATTTTTAAACTTTGGATTTTTCAAATTTTCGTTTCTTCAAATTTTCATTTTTGATTTTCACTTTTGACATTTTTGAAGTTTTCATCATAAACTTTTTCGTTTTTTTATTTTTGATTTTTCAATTTTACAGTTTCTTGACTTCTAAATTTTTCAATTTTTCGATTTGCAATTTTTTAATTTTGCAATTTTTCGATATTACATTTTCTCATTTTTCGATTTTTCACATTCTCAGTTTTTAATTTTTGTCATTTTCAATTTTTGAAGTTGTCGATTTTTATTTTTCATTTTCCCGATTTTTTAATTTTCACTTTCGCGATTTTATGTCACAAATTTTCATTTTTTCAATTCCTTTATTTTTTGTTGTTTCTTTTGATTTTTCAATTTTTCGAATTTTTCGTTTCCACAATTTTTCATGTTCCCGACTTTTATTTTTCAGTGTGGCGAATTTTTAATTTTTATTTTCTCGATTTACATCACAATTGTCCGTTTCTTCATTTCCTTTATTTTCTGTTTTTTTTTTCGATTTTACAATTTTTCACTTTGCAGTTTTTGGATTTCCAGTCTTCCGATTTTCCAATTTCTTTAATTTTAAATATTTCTATTTCATAATACATATTTCTTTTTTTTTATTATTAGCAGTTTTTCTTCAAATTTCCAAGTTTGATTTTCACTTTGTACATTTTTTAAGTTTTTATTATGCACTTTTTCGTTTTTCTATTTTTGATATTTCAATTTTACAATTTGTCGACTGCCAAATTTACCAATTTTTCAATATTACAATTTCTCATTTTTCCATTTTTCACATTCTCGATTTTTAATTGTGCCCTTTTTCCAATTTCTTTAATTTTAAATATTTCTATTTCATAATACATATTTCTTTTTTTTATTTTTCACTTTTTCGATTCTTAAGATTTTTCAAGTTTTCATTTTGTAATTTTTCGTTTTTTATTTTTGATTTTTCAATTTGGCAATTTTTCAATATTCCAGATTTTCATTTTCCCGATTTTTTAATTATCACTTTTTCGATTTTATATCACAATTTTCCTTTTTTTGATTTCCTTTATTTTTTGTTGTTTCTTTCGATTTTACAATTTTTCCTTTATTAAATTTTTCAAATTTTCAGGTTTTTAGCAATTTTTCTTCAAATTTTCAAGTTTGATTTTCACTTTGTACATTTTCAAAGTTTTTATTATGCACTTTTTCGTTTTTTTATTTTTGATTTTTCAATTGTACAGTTTGTTGACTTCTAAATTTTTCAATTTTTCGATTTGCAATTTTTTTATTTTGCAATTTTTCCATATTACATTTTCTCATTTTTCGATTTTTCACATTCTCGGTTTTTAATTTGTCATTTTCAATTTTTCGTTTCCTCATTTTTTCAAGTTCTCGATTTTTATTTTTCATTTTCGCGATTTTATGTCACAAATTTTCATTTTTTCAATTCCTTTATTTTTTGTTGTTTCTTTCGATTTTTCAATTTTTCGAATTTTCAGTTTCTCAATTTTTCGTTTCCACAATTTTTCATGTTCCCGATTTTTATTTTTCAGTGTGGCGAATTTTTAATTTTTATTTTCTGTTTTTGTTTCGATTTTACAATTTTTCACTTTGCAGTTTTTGGATTTCCAGTCTTCCGATTTTCCAATTTCTTTAATTTTAAATATTTCTATTTCATAATACATATTTCTTTTTTTTTTATTTTTCACTTTTACGATTCTTAAGATTTTTCAAGTTTTCATTTTGTAATTTTCCGTTTTTTATTTTTGATTTTTCAATTTTACAATTTCTCGACTTCCACAATTTTCAATTTTTCGGTTTGCATCAGTTTTTCAATTTGGCAATTTTTCAATATTACAGATTTTCATTTTTCGATTTTTCAGTTTCTCAATTTTTATTTTTCATTTTCCCAATTTTTTAATTATCACTTTTTCGATTTTATGTCACAATTTCCCTTTTTTTTCATTTCCTTTATTTTTTGTTGTTTCTTTCGATTTTACAATTTTTCCTTTATTAAATTTTTCAAATTTTCAGGTTTTTAGCAGTTTTTCTTCAAATTTCCAAGTTTGATTTTCACTTTGTACATTTTTTAAGTTTTTATTATGCACTTTTTCGTTTTTTTATTTTTGATATTTCAATTTTACAATTTGTCGACTGCCAAATTTACCAATTTTTCAATATTACAATTTCTCATTTTTCCATTTTTCACATTCTCGATTTTTAATTGTGCCCTTTTTCCAATTTCTTTAATTTTAAATATTTCTATTTCATAATACATATTTCTTTTTTTTATTTTTCACTTTTTCGATTCTTAAGATTTTTCAAGTTTTCATTTTGTAATTTTTCGTTTTTTATTTTTAATTTTTCAATTTTACAATTTCTCGACTTCCAAAATTTTCAATTTTTCGTTCCTTCAGTTTTTCGGTTTGCATCAGTTTTTCAATTTGGCAATTTTTCAATATAACAGATTTTCATTTTTCGATTTTTCAGTTTCTCAATTTTTATTTTTCATTTTTCCGATTTTTTAATTTTCACTTTTTCGATTTTACATCACAATTTTCCTTTTTATGATTTCCTTTATTTTTTGCTGTTTCTTTCGATTTTACAATTTTTCCTTTATTAAATTTTTCAAATTTTCAGGTTTTTAGTAATTTTTCTTCAAATTTTCAAGTTTGATTTTCACTTTGCACATTTTTTAAGTTTTTATTATGCACTTTTTCGTTTTTTTATTTTTGATATTTCGATTTGCAATTTTTTAATTTTGCAATTTTTCGACATTACATTTTCTCATTTTTCGATTTTTCACATTCTCGGTTTTTAATTTTTGTCATTTTCAATTTTTCGTTTCCTCAATTTTTCAAGTTCTCGATTTTTATTTTTCATTTTCCCGATTTTTTTAATTTTCATTTTCTCGATTTTATGTCACAAATTTTCATTTTTTCAATTTTTCGAATTTCCAGTTTCTCAATTTTTCGTTTCCACAATTTTTCATGTTCCCGATTTTTATTTTTCAGTGTGGCGAATTTTTAATTTTTATTTTCTCGATTTGCATCACAATTGTCCGTTTCCTTTATTTTCTGTGGTATTTTTTTCGATTTTAAAATTTTTCACTTTGCAGTTTTTGGATTTCCAATTTTCCGATTTTTCAACTTCTTTAATTTTAAATATTTCTATTTCATAATACATATTTCTTTTTTTTTTATTTTTCACTTTTTCGATTCTTAATATTTTTCAAGTTTTCATTTTGTAATTTTTCGTTTTTTATTTTTGATTTTTCAATTTTACAATTTCTCGACTTCCAAAATTTTCAATTCTTCGTACCTTCAATTTTTCGGGTTGCATCAATTTTTCAATTTGGCAATTTTTCAGTATTACAGATTTTCATTTTTCGATTTTTCAGCTTCTCAATTTTTATTTTTCATTTTCCCGATTTTTTAATTTTCCTTTTTCGATTTTATATCACAATTTTCCTTTTTTTGATTTCCTTTATTTTTTGTTGTTTGTTTCGATTTTTCAATTTTTCGAATTTTCAGTTTCTCAATTTTTCGTTTCCACAATTTTTCACGCTCCCGATTTTTATTTTTCAGTGTGGCGAATTTTTAATTTTTATTTTATCGATTTATATCACAATTGTCCGTTTCTTCATTTCCTTTATTTTCTGTTTTTTTTTTCGATTTTACAATTTTTCATTTGTTCAATTTTTCAAATTTTCAGGCTTTGAATTTTCAGTTCGTCTATGTTTCAATTTTTAGTTTTCACTTTGCAGTTTTTGGATTTTCAGTTTTCCGATTTTTCAATTTCTTTAATTTTAAATATTTCTATTTCATAATACATATTTCTTTTTTTTTTTGGTTTTTCACTTTTTCGATTCTTAAGATTTTTCAAGTTTTCATTTTGTAATTTTTGGTTTTTTATTTTTAATTTTTCAATTTTACAATTTCTCGACTTCCAAAATTTTCAATTTTTCGTTCCTTCAATTTTTCGGTTTGCATCAGTTTTTCAGTTTGTCAATTTTTGCAAAATTACAGATTTTTATTTTCCCGATTTTTTAATTTTCACTTTTTCGATTTTATATCACAATTTTCCTTTTTTTGATTTCCTTTATTTTTTGTTGTTTCTTTCGATTTTAAAATTTTTCCTTTATTAAATTTTTCAAATTTTCAGGTTTTTAGCAGTTTTTCTTCAAATTTTCAAGTTTGATTTTCAATTTTACAATTTGTCGACTTCCAAATTTTCCAATTTTTCAATATTACAATTTCTCATCTTTCCATTTGTCACATTCTCGATTTTTAATTGTGCCCTTTTTCAATTTTCCGTCCCCTCAATTTTTCAACTCCTCGATTTTTATTTTGCATTTTCCTGATTTTTTATTTTTCATTTTCCCGATTTTTATAATTTTAATTTTCTCGATTTTGTCACAAATTTTCATTTTTTCAATTCCTTTATTTTTTGTTGTTTTTTCGATTTTTCAATTTTTCGAAGTTTCAGTTTCTGAATTTTTCGTTTCCACAATTTTTCATGTTCCCGATTTTTA